AAATAAAATTACAACGAAAATGTAAGTAATTTGTCTAATATTTTTGAAAGGCATCTTATCTAGGCCAAGAATGCACTCGGAAAACGAAGTATTGTTTTATTAGTCACCTGGATCGATTTATAATGCACTTATTAAACTGTGTTACACTTTGTTCTGCGAACCGATTATCTATGTATTGCTAGTAAACAGAGAGCTGATGTTCAATTGAACGACATACCATAACATATAAATCGCAGGCAAATGAACGATACATGCATTTTTATTAAAAAAAGACTATTTTAATATGGTTCTGAAGAAAGAAATGCTATTATTAATATGTTTTCTACTAATGATTGTTTCCAAAAGGTGCTGTGTCGTGAGTTTATGTTTTTGCTTCATAATAAACTAGACCAGATTTAGATTATTTTCTTAAACTGTATATCATTTTAATTGTACTGTATTAGCTTCTCGTAGTCCAAAAATCGATGTTGAAATTTTTTGCATATCTTTCCGTTTCAAAGTTTTCAGAGCATTTTATCAAAACGTGGGTGTGTTTATGAGTATGTATGTATGTGTGGATACAATTTTTCGTCGACCTTTTTTGGAGCACTTCTCAACAAATGTGAATGATTCAAATAGCATTCGATTCCTACTTATGGTGATTAGGGCTGTTTAGTTTTTAGAAAAAGCAGGTCAAACCGTTTCGGAGATATGGAACAAAAAGTGCCAAAAAATAAAAATTAAGTTTTTGAGAGAACAGTGTATCTGATTTTGATGATTCAAAAAATATTCAATTCGTAATGATGAGAAGACGTGGCGATTAGTTTTTGGTAAATGAGCTAAAAGAGTAAAAAATGAAATCCAATTAGAATGATTCAAAAAACCTTTTGCTTGTTTTAAGAAAACGATAGCTTTTGGAGAAATCAAAAAAAATTTTAAAGTAAAACTTTTTAAGACGCGACTGGGGTGTAAATCCGTACAAATGCAACGGAAGTGAGTTACGGCCAATCGAGTGCCAATGATTCATCATTCTCTCACGATTAAATTATTTCTATACGGGTCGATTGTGATTTGACGTCGTGAATAGAGATCTGTCGTTGTATGCGTACCGATATCAACAAGGAAATCGGCGTAGATAAATAAACATTTTAAAATTACATCGTAGTACAAATCTTGATTTAATAAAAAATGCCTGAATGAGAAGAATATTTTACACTGTTTCTTGAAAATAATGAAACAAATTAAACATTTGTGCCGTGAACAAAACGTAAGTTTATTGATTAGAAATTATTTCTATATTATTCGTAGTTTCTATAAATCTTTGAAGTTATTAAAATGGAAAATATTTTTAGGCAAGGCATTTATTATAGCTGTTCAAAGAATGAGATTATATCGCCAGCGAAAGAGTAAAAAAATACAAGCAGTCAATGAATGTATGTTAATTTTAATTACATGAAGTTCTTCAAACATAATTAGATGATAAATAAAGCTGCGAAAACAATATTTGTTTAGGCGTTGTTTAACATAATCCACTGTGTGAACAAATATTATGGAACTTATTAATCAGCAATTACTTCATTTCTCTAATGAACGTTCATTCCTAAATGCATTACAATGACAAACCGATCATGTCATATTTGAAGTATGACTTTAATTACATTATTGTTTTTAAATAATATACATATCTTAATGCTATTATAAATATATAATTTATAATTTATCATTATATAAATGTGAATAATGCTTGACACTAATAAATGTGTGCATCACGAGTGTTACCATGTTACTAATAAACATTATTCAAAATTGTTATATGACATATTATTTTTCCTTAAATGCCATCTTGTACAGTAGCAAATAAGTTTTGCTTCAATTGCGTGTGAACCTTACGCGCTCTTTTTTATTATATATATATATATATATATATATATATTCAATAGATAAGTCCTGGATTTTTTCAATATATTGATTGTTTCTTTTCCGAACAGTAAATCCAATAATAAAAAACAATTTGTTTTTTGAAGATGTTTAATACGACTTTCGGAACTAGGTACGTTCCATCATCAGGTTTATTCTGTCAAATACAATGTTTTTTAAAATACTGATTAACATTAATTAACAATGGTCAATACAGATTAATTAGAAAAAAAATTTTGTATAAAGGAATGGATTATGTACCGGATAGATAGTAATAAGACTTA